AATTTTGTACAGATTAGGTAAATAGTTCGTTAAGATATTGATCATAAAAAGTAAACTCGCAGTGAGAACATCAAAACTCAATACGATCAAGTAAATAAATTATATTTTCGGAGTTATTCATGTCAGGAACAATACGCCACTGTCTATTGTAGAAAATACCAACCCATTGGCAGTTAATGCAGTAAAACCTTATATTAAAATGAGTTTCTTCCCAAGGTCATATTAGGTTATTAGTCACAATATAATAAAAATTAACTTTTATTAAACCTGTCAATATCTACGATTAGTACTTATTTACAATAGTAAAATAAATAATAATATAGTCAATCTATAATGTATCACGGCTGGGCAATCCTAGATATTTTTTCGTATTTAGTAAACGAATAACTAGTTGGTAAATTAATCATGATATCTATCTGCTTTTTTTTCGCCGGAGACAAAAATGATATTGCGTATTTTTCGTAACTGCACATTCTGTGGATTTATTTCATTATTTTGTACAATATACGAAACTTAAGTGACTAAAATTAAATCTAATCTGAACCAGAATCATAAAAACTGTATTATTTGTGCTAAACGAATCTAATGAAGATCTGTTATCTTTGTCTTCTGCGAAAAAAACAGACTATAGGAATCTATCGAATACCTACATAAACAAAATATCACCTACTATAAATAAAATATTACAAAGCGGAATAACTAATAAGAGTGGCAACGTCGCCAAACAAAGGAATTGCGTTAAGCAGGAGAATGAATTAAAAACTATGTATATTACGGGGATTCTGGATAATTTGTAATATGGAAGGGAGTCCTGATCGGTTTCCCTCTGTCTGGCAATATACAAATATTTGTATATCGACATATGGTAAATTTTCAAAGAAATGAGTTAAACACTATCTTTGAAATTGTTTAATGGATAGCAATGGATAGCAATATTCGCTGTCATGTATAAAAATTGCCTACAAGTGGTGGACGCTACAATAATGCGAAATGAAAGGACGTAGAATCAATATTGTGATGTATATATATATATATATATAATTACGATATGGATATACTGTATATTTTATTATAGTTATTTTGATTTATGATTATTATAGTATCGGTAACTTTGCATGTGTTCCTTCCTACTGTCGGATTTTGCCGCCTTGGGCGTTGGACATCAATACGATACTTTAAAAATGGTATTAGTTATTCATGTAACTTACACGTACCTTGTTACTGTGTAATAAGGTGCGGTATGGTCTACTGGAATAATACACCGACTGATCGGCTAGGTCAGGTGAAATTTGTTTATTTCAAGAATAATTATTAGATTGGTATTTATAACATAATCACGTTCGTAGCTCCAAATAAAATAAAAAATAGTCCCGCTGGGTTTCTTGCTGGTTCCTCCCAGGTTTTTTTGCCAGTGGTAAATGGAAAAAATTGACTCAATAAGTGTTTTTTATAATCTACATTGAATAAAAAAGTTTCTATTTCTGTCTCTCCATATCCGCATAATAATAGGTTAGGGGAAAAGTTTCTTCGTATTTTATATATAAATTGAAGACATTATTTTTCAACATTTAGTTATTTACATTTGGTTTTAATAATATATATGTGCCATATTGTTCGATATCTTGTTGCCATTTTATAGGTGTTACATAACCCTGTTGCTGTAGAAATCTTGGGATTTTTGATTAAAAAAAATGTGACAAGTAGTTTTTACAGTCCTCTTTTGATGTTAATCTAACACTAAACTCAAAGACATCTGAAGAGACAGGTGAAAATCTGAGGGTGCAACAAGATCAGGACTGTATATGTATTAAAACTTCCCAACTAAGCTCTCCCTATTTTTGCTGAGTGGCTAAAGATGTGTGTGGTCAGGAGTTACATGATGAAAGACCACTCCTTTTCTGTTGATCAATTCCGGTCGTTTTTTTTTTCAATTCCTTGCTTGAGTCTCATTAGTTTTTAGCAGTGGAGGTCTGGTTTTGCCCGGCGGTAAAAACTCATAATAAACGATGTCCTTCCAATCCCACCTTACACACAGCATCACCATATTACGTGTCAATCTGGGTTTTGTTACAGTTTGTGGAGCTTGACTACCCTTTGACCATGATCTTTTTCGCACGTTCTTGTCGTTAGTGATCAATTTTCATCACCATTGATCAATCTTTTTAAAAATGGTTTGGTTTCATTATGTTTTAATTGAGAATCAGAATCACTAATGAGTACACGATTCATTATGTTTCTTTTTAGTTCGTGTGGTACCCAAATATGAATTTTCAAATGGTTCAAAACTGTTTTGTAGTAATTTTTAATTCCTCGGCTATGTCGTAACCACTAATATGCCAATCTTGCTCGACTAGAACAAGAACGGGCGACTAGAACAAGCTGCATCAAAATTCTCGGACTGAAAATGCTTGAACCAACTTTGTACTACTTTAACTTATACTGAATTAAGTATAAACGTCAGATTTTTTCTTGCTGCTTGAGTCGCACTTTTACCTCTTGTAATAACTTCACTTAAATTCACTCATTTTGGTGGACAGAAAACCAATTGGAAAATGGTGGGAAAGTGTTTTTTACTTATTATTTTTCTTAATTTATAAGTTTTGATATTAAAACCAGTCACAAACTCTACAACCAAAGAGATTTTTCGTCAATATTATACAAACAAAATACAAAGAAATTTTTTCTCCAACCTATTATTTATATTTCATACAATGCATACTGCTTCCTTGGGTTGTTTGCCGTAAGCGAGACTGTTGCCCATGTAGTCCTAAGTTTTAAACCTGGGCCAGGCCATAATCAGTTATTGAACTTGAATCTAAAACACAAACAAAGTGAAACATTTTTTTTCACTTTCCTTGTTAATTGGCTTGTAGCTGGTTCACATAATGATTTCTTATATTTACGCGAACACTACAAATTAAATTTAACTAATTGTACGGAATTTATCACGTTTAATTCTCGACATTTCGGATGCTTTACAGCACCCATGGCGCATATCACGCAAAAAATCATGGCTATAAATATAATAGACAAGTGCACATACCCCATTTAAATTAAGAGTTGTCTCTTAATATTTCATGGAGCAATGACATTATTTTTGTTTGTTTTCAGATTTTCAATGGCATATGGAACGATCTCAAGATGAAATTATGAACTCAAACGATAGCATCAGGGAGTCGCAAGGTAAGCGCGAGTGCGTTGTAGCGACGCCATTGCTGGTGCCCAGCTGGTCGCAAGCAATGGCGGACAAGTCATTCAAACATCTTGCGTTGCTTTTTAATTGCCACTTTGTTATCCATTAACAAGTCCAAGTTCAAGTCTCAACGCAAAATGTTCAATGGGACTCGAGATTGATACTGGGACAATCAACTTTTTTTAACTAACAATAAATTTAAAGGATTTTCTTGTTTTGTTTTTCTTTTACAACTCAAAAGTTTATTGTCCCTGTTGTACAAGGAACGGATGAAATGCGCAATGTCTTCCCATAATTTGAAATAAATCAACAGTCATTGCTTTAAATTATTTGTATTTATACTGTTATATATAAAAATATTATATTTCACGACAGCGGATACGAGAGTGCTAGTGTTTTCACATGTGAACTACAAACCTTATCTTAATTAGTATCTAATATTAATATTATAAACTAACTAATATTATTGCAAATTTATACCTTTTTTACCCATATATAAATGAATATTTCAGAACAAACAGGTAACGGTAATGGTAGAAAGGTTTTGATTATTTGTAGCCTTTATAAGGCGAGGTATTCATTAATTTTTTAAGGTAAGTTCAGAGTTTGATTATTGCAATGACATGGGTTTGTGTGTACCTGCTTCCTATTTGTAACATGGAGTTTAAGAATATGTAAATCATTGCATGCTACATTAGATATCGCCTTGGCGAGCGCATGGTGATAACAAATATTAACCGATCTGTGGCTAATTTTTATTTAACGTCATACTTAACATGGTGAAGTGGAATATCGTATTTATTGGTAAGTAAGATTTGACATATTACAATTATATACATGTATTGTTTATTTTAGTAGATGCTATAGTTGTTTTGCGTGCACATCTCACTAAATCCACGAGGCTAGTTTTAGGGCACATGTTAGTTGCCAAATAATAAATTGTTAATTATCGCTACGGAGTACCTAATCGCGCCAAATGTGTGATTTCTGAATCAAAAATCAGAATTTGTTGTAGAAGACTTATGGGACTGCTTCGCTACTCGACCAATAAAGGTAAACCAAAATTCATTTTCATTTATCGTTGTAGTTTCTGGTTATGTGGCTTATTTATTTTATTAGCTCTTTTTATTTTTGCATTCACATGTGATTTCACTGCAAATGTTTTTTTTTATCTCCTAGCAATTCATGTATCAAAGCGTTAGCGTCATTTGTTTTTTTTTTAATGTGCATGTTTGGTTAGACAAGGAAGCGAAAAGCCAAAATTTCAAATGGCATGTAAATTAATTGAATGCATTTACTTCAGAGAATGCGCATTTCATTTATGTCTATATCGAATCTTTGTGAAGCAATAGAAAACAATTTATTCAACAGGAAAACAAAGTATAGAAATAGGGATATAAAATCAACAATCGATTTAAATGTAACAGTACTTTTAAACAATTAATTAAATTTTAGCCAAATGTAACCTTTCTTAACATTCCTCAAAGCATGCTCACAGCTTTCTTCAGTTTGCACCATCTTCAATCTTCCATTCATATATGAACATTGTATATATAATTACATTTTGAAATCTTACACTTCATAATTTTTTGAAACACATTCTCATGAGCACCTTGTATTTATTTACGTCATCTTGTGATAATGTGCATTTATTACTAACATTTCCATGCTTTGTATTAATTTCACTATCGCTTGTCATTATTTTGCCCTTACAGAACCATCCTTCATTAATCTAAATTGCGCACTGAATTACGCCAAAACCCCCTTTCCACTAACCCGTGGGTATTTAAAGAGCGAAAAAGATGTCATGGACGAGAACCAAGACGAAACATCGAAATATAAAGTGCAAAAAAGACTTAAAAAGATTTTTAAAAAGGAGGCTGCTATACGTGGCAAGAAGAAATATAAAAAGAACAAAGAGATGGGTGTGTGCAGTGGGCTAAATAGAAACCAAAATGCAGATAAAGATCGGAAATATGTTTGCTCAATTTGCAAGAAGAAGCAATATAAGTACAGAAGGAACAAGTTGAGACACGAAAAGTACGAATGTGTCACCGGTCCACAGTTTTCTTGTGGGACTTGCGGCAAAAAGTACTCACAAAAAAAAACCCTGACCTCACATATCGTGCAAAAGCATCCTGATTGGGCCTTAGATGTGCAAATTCATAATGCTTGATTATATTTTAATTTTTTTTTAAATATTTTCCTGTTGATTTTCCTATTTTGTTTATTTTTCACGTCATTTTTGTTACTGTTACTAATAAAATCATGTTGAACTAGTTGTAAATTGCAAACATGGATTGTTAGGATATTAAAAAGAAACACTATTAGAATGTATCCTATTCAATGTACAATTTCTTGTCATATGATCTCACGAGATCTCATTCAGAACGATCTGAAAACAAGTTGTTGGTTTATATTTTGTTGATCACGTTTATTTGCTTTGGAGTGTTGTATTTTAGTTACTCACATTTTTATACTTTTTTTGAGTTAAATATATTTTCGTTTGTTATACAAGTTGGATTTTTCTTTAACGCTTCTTAATTTTGTTGGGTTATATTTTACGACTCGTTTGCGTTTTGTGAGCGTAAAACAAAATGGACTGTATCGTTTTTATTCATTTCAGGTCGAAAGTCGACGCCGCGGCATAGTATAATGACGCGTAGTAAAAAAGTGAGCGAGGAGACCGGCAATACGACTACCCTGGCGATACTGAAGAACGTGACGTCACCCAACACGCCGCCGGAGGAGTCGAAGGAGAACAAGAAGCAGCCGCCTAAAGCGAAGAGCCCCGCCTCCCAAACAAACGAGGGGGAGAGGGAGACGGAGGGGAGTGGAGGGGGCGGGGCCCGGGGCGAGTCGCGCTACAACATCTTCCCGCGCAGCGGCAGCCAGCTGCCGTGCGCGCAGTACAAGACGGAGAAGGGCTACCGCTGCCCCAACTGCCAGCGCTGCTACAACGCGCGCAAGAACCTGGTGCGCCACGTGACGCTGGAGTGCGGCCGCGAGCCGCAGTACAAGTGCCCGCACTGCGCCTACAGCAAGCACCGCCGCAACGAGCTCAAGAAGCACATCGAGAAGAAGCACCCCGCGCACCACGCCGCGCTCGCCGTCAAGTGAACCCGTCCTCCAACTCCTACCCCCCACCTTCCCTTCCCTCACCCCCGCGCGCCACTAGTGCCTTATCTACACTCGCGGTCTTCCTCCACACGATACTGTTACTGAAACTTTTATACTAATGTATCGTTAGATTATTGATATTCAATATTTTTTGACTATTAAACGACTTTACGCGTTCGTGCCCGCCTTTCATTTCGTCGCATAACCTCAGCCCGGTTACGTTCTTTATGGGAAGATTAGTTATTTGAGAGATACGATAGTCTCGTTACTGAATTGTGCATGTCTGCATGAATTAGAAGCTTTTGCCTCTTATGATTTCTAACAGAGATTATTTTTTTATTATTATTTTTTATATTATTATAACGCATTTCTTTGGTTCCTTAATTTTATTTTAGCCTTTGGTAGTATTAACAAGAGTCAGTATGTAGTGCCCGCTTAACTTATTATTTGCAATACCGTTAATGTGTTGTATTTCAGAGCTGCATAAGGAGCTACCGTCGGCTCTGTTATCGCTCCTGTCTGTGCAGCAGTCTCCGACACTGGCGGCTCTCATTCCGCCCTGCATCCAAGTGAGCAATATCATCAAACCCGTTACCAAAGATGTGGCGCCTTTCACCGGCGCCCTGCACATGCCAATGCTGCAGCCTTTTCTGCAAAACAACAACACCCTCACCAACTCGCTGGTACAGCCCAAAGAGGACCAGGACTCGGACGCGGAATACGACGACACGGACGATATCGTCCTGCCCGAGGAAAACGACGCCTTCTACGAATCCGGTACAAACTACTCGCCGAATGCGAGCAACACCAATTCAAATGACGCGTTCGACTCCAAACCGGACACGAAAGGCCATTACGTGAAACGCGACGGAAACAGTTCGGACGATGCTAGTCGCCAGTTCGAGTGCCGACACTGCGGCAAAAAATACCGCTGGAAGTCCACCTTACGCCGCCACGAAAACGTGGAATGCGGTGGCAAAGCTCCCTCCCACCAATGCCCCTACTGCTCCTACAAGGCCAAACAGCGTGGCAACCTGGGCGTACACATCCGCAAACACCACAACAACGAGTGGTACATCTACGCCAGCAATAAAGTCAGGCGGAACAAAAAGACCTCTATCTAGTTTTATTTAGGCAAATGTAACCATTAGACCAAAGTAGATACCCAACCAAATCGGTACTGCAATAATAATATTTATATTTACATTTTATTTTTGTTGAAGACGTTTTTAATATTTACACTTAAGATAATAGACGTAATTTGCACATTCCCTAATGGTGTAACGTTAATTTTGTTGTTTTTGTTCGAAGAGTTTATTAACTTAGTTAAGACTGACCCTCTAAATACTTGTTTCGAAAAAACGCTTTCGAGCTTTCGTGTGAAAACAATGTTTACTACACATTCCCCCCATCTAAAACAACTAACCCGTATTAGAACCCTCGATAAGAAAGAAATAGAACTATATTTCCAATAAACTAACTCGAATTTCTTTAGTTTTAATGTCCCTAACATTCCTGATAAGGAATAATTCCAAATTTTATTAGTGCAATGTTATTAAGAAATATTTAGTGTATTCGTGTTGTTTTTAGATTTGTTTTAAGGTCCCATAAGATGCAATCACGCTTTCATATCACGGGTAAAATTTTGTTCATTTTTTTGGGTCACGGTTATTCCAATGATCTTATTTATTGTTGATTCAACAGTGACTGCCCATTTCCGGGACCATTAAATCGTCTTCCCAAGATTATTCATAGAAAACCCAAAGTTTGTTATTTAAAAAAATTGTTTATTTATTAGGATAATATTAATGGACCCAGTCCGTTGTAAGAGCTTATAGGTGTCTCAAGTTTTCTTCATTTTAGTAGGGATTTGGATTATTTTTGATCCATAAGGAAGTTTGAGGTATCTATAACTTAGGTAAATAAAAGCTCATAAATATGTGCCTACAATGTTACCTGTAGATAAATACTATTTATTATGTTGTTCGGTTTATGATTTCGGTGTACTGGAATGAAATGAAAAATGTGTTCAAAAATTGCATGAAGTTAATTGATATTAACCGATATTGTATTCGCAATAAAATATTTGAAACATTTTGTTTAGCATATTGACTGTTGATATTTTTTTTTTTTGTTGAACTAGGATAACAGAGCTATTTGACCAAAGTCAGTATTAGTTTATTAAAGTGGAGGTAAGAAATGTATTTTTATTGAAACATTCGAGTCATTGCTAAGCATAGAAGAAATGTTTTAATATGATATTCTCCCATCATATGTATGAATTGTTAACGGTCTAAGGTACTGATGTAAGTTAGCTTACGATTTGGATGTTATAAAGTTTACATTGTTTGTTAATGTTATTGGAAACTAGTTAATATATTAGTGTGATTTTTATATGAATATATTGGGGTTTATTTGGTAGAAAAGTTAATAAAAATAAAAATATAGTGTACCATACTTTTGTGTTTCTTTTGGCCACTTTATTGGAAACAATGCCTTGAATCCATTGCTTGTACCCTTTTATTTGAATTTTATTTTAGATCAATTAGGTAAGTTACAATTTTTCGTTATTTATTTTCGTTCATGTTAACCGCGCATGTGTGGCATGTCACCTTAAATTCACTGTTTCTTCATTTCAAATTGTGTATTGACATTTTTTTCTTTGTCGTTCATACTAATATAATTAATAATTTCAGGTAGACAAGAAAGCCCATGGGTCGGGAGACTACATTTATTAATAAAGTTTATTGATGTGTCAAAAGCGGTGACAAAACTTGTACCGTCCAGTAAACACCATGATTTTTCTTGGTACCTACTGCTTCTTTCCGCACGACATACGAAAAATGTCTATAACATACTTATGTTTTTCAAGAGCACTAGATGTAAGGATAACGTCGCGACCCTTGCTTTATCCGAATAAATATTATGAGTCCTCTATTTTGTTTCTTTTTACTTTTTTCCTTGCGCTTTCGTCACAGCACTCGGTGGACACACTCACAGTAGTATGTAGTGTATGTACGTCTATGTACTACCCGTGCGGATAAAGAATGGGACTAAAAATGGCGACTCATCGAGCTTGTGCTGTCTGAATATACAGTATCAGAAACGAAAAAACTGTAATAACGGTATTATATTTAAAACATTGTTGTTGTTTTTGGAAAGCGACTGATTAGTATATTAAATCAATTTAATTTTTAATAAAATTAAATTATTAACGTAATTTTATAGTAGGGAGGATACAAGATGTAGAAAGTATATTGAACCGTTTCGTTCTGTAACTTAGGCCGGAAGTTAAAAGCAGTGTGCAAACGAGAGGTGAATAGAAGTAAAAGCAGTGTGCAAGTGAAGAGGCGAAGCCATTTATAATCCCATTGTTTATCTGCGCGAGATATATGTATGTGTATGTACTTATCATGTATGTATGCGTTATATAATGGTATATGTGTATCGGTCTGGGGTCGAGGCGGGCGCTGAGGAGAGTGGTATGACGTGTGGCGGGTTTCAGGGGCGGAGGACGTGTCGTTCTCGCGGATCGGCGGGCTGTCGTGGGAGCAGTGGTCGGCGCGGCTGGCGCTGCCGCTGGTGGGCGCGGTGGGGGGGGCCGCCGCGCCAGGGGGAGCGCTGCGCGGCCGCGAGCCCGGCTTCGCGTGCGCCGACTGCGGCCGCGTCTACAAGCTCAAGTCCTCGCTGCGCAACCACCAGAAGTGGGAGTGCGGCAAGGAGCCCCAGTTCCAGTGCCCCTACTGCGTGTACCGCGCCAAGCAGAAGATGCACATCGCAAGGCACATGGAGCGCATGCACCGCGAGGTCCACCTCAAGCCCGACCAGTACATCAAGCAGGACAACGTGGATGCCTGCACGTAACCATCGCGAGGAGGGTATTTGTAAAAATTCATCAGCACCAATCTTGTTCGTGTAATAGAGTCAGCATACTGTAACGTAATCCCGTGTTTATTCCGATTGTGATAAATGTGATGAAAATCTTTTGTGATAGTGGCATCGGATGGTCACGTTAGATGTAATCCTCTCTCGAGGACGCAAGTCGTGCCTTCGGTCGTTACCTCCCCCGTCGTAACCGACGGTAGTATATAGATACCATATGAATTTAAAACTCATGACGAATTACTCTTAGTATTCGCACTGATTGCACTTTTTGCAATGGTGTAAGCAACTGTTGCATTTATCCAGTATATGTTAAGGGAAGTGATTTTGTGTATAGTTACTCTTTTTAACTTTATATATTTTTATATGTACAGCATTTACTGTATAAATTATCATTCCTGGTTATTTGAATACGTAAGGTTTAGACTCGATAGATAATTTAACGAGAATAGGACTCGCCCTAGTTTGACGACCATTGTTACCAATCGCAGTTACTATTTGCTAAATCGATTTTGACAATTTTAAAGATTTGTTGAATCTATTCAGAACTAAAGAGGTATATTTGAAGATATTAAAAATTTAGCGGCGCATTAAAAATTTAGTATTTTGTGCGAAATCGTGTTTTCTATTTTGTATATCCTAGTTATAGATGAAATGAAGCTATTTTCGCTTAGTTAGCAAGCTCTAGTACTTTGCCATAATGCATGTTCCATTGTTTTTGTAATACTCAAATAAGTTAATGTTTATTCGATTACTATTTTTAGATCTCTTTACGTGTAATGCATTTATTTTAATTAGGAACTCAATAAATCTCTGTTGTAACAGTGTAATGCGAACAGATTTTGAAAAACTCATAGCATTAAGTTCCTTATGGAGAAGAATGGTTATTCTATGTTTTGCAAACTTTAATTTAAGGGGCCAATTATGATGTTTAGATTTAGGATATAAACTCGTAGTGGAATGAGTGCCTTATTGAAGTAACTGTTGAATATTAAATGTGGTTTTTTTTTAGTAAAGTTGAAGCCACTGCCATTAACATATTTATCGAAATTTATGCACAAAATATTTGTTATGTTTGAAAAAATTCAAAATAATCTTCCACATAGATATTGTAAGTATTTTATACATTACCATTTAGGGATAATAAGATTTAGGGTGTTGTGTAGTCCGATAGGCAGAATTACTCAATTTACTAGCAGCTGTTCGGTTATCTAATTTAATTGTAGAAAATAATTTATGTGAATGTTCCTAATTGCCCATTTCATTGTTGGAAACAAATTTAACTTGCCATTGAGTATTTCTGCATATTAACTACAAAACATAAACTATCCGTTGGAGTTACCATCATACAATCAATATGTAGAGCTCACAAAGTACAACCATACAAGTCAATTCAATATAGTAAGTGCCTTTAAAACGTTAGTCATTAGGATTTAAAATGTATCAGATGAAAGGAGTTTTCAAATCAATCATAGATATGTAACTTGTTATTGCAAAATATCTAGGTTGTGATTTTTAGCCATTTTATAAACAAGTTGAACACTGCAAAATTGTAGGTTTACAAAGTTATGAACTAAAAATATCTTACAATAATATATCTTTTACATCTTGCTGAGTATTACGTTGCTGTGATAGTAAATTCTCAAATAACAATGTAAAAACATAATTAATGGGAATTAAATAATGGTAATGGCTTGGGTGATACCAGTCGTGAAATTTCACTCAATAGTGTTATGTAGAAGTTTTAAACCCAAGTGAAATAGCAGAACAAACTTTATATTTACACTAATAGTAAGAATTACTTCCTAGTATATTTGTGATGTAGGTAGATACAATGGAAACTGTCAATAAGAAGTTACAGTGATTAAATGCATTTGATTGTATTTTTATAACCTTTTTGTATTTTAAATAAAGTTGCTATTCTTGATACATATTCGTTTTAATAAAATATATTACATTGTTTCATTACCTACTAGGTTTATTTTAAGGGTATTTAAGTAGAATTAACCTTTTGGGTATAACTTATCATAATGTATAACAGCATCAATATTTTAGCCATTTATAATATAGTTACCCTATAAGTTAAAATCAATGCATGTACTCATAGAAATTGTAAACTTAAAATAGAAATAGCTTTTGGAGATCTATTTATTTCTAATTTAAGTTTTTAACAGTGTACAAACTCATCGTTGCATGTCACTTCAAAACGATACAAAATTAAATTAGATTTAGATTAATAATCCTCGTAAATCCAAGAGCAAATTAATGGGAGACATGGTGCATTATCTTATGCTTACATGGCACAATATTTTCTTAAAATGGTGGCTTGGCTTTCACATGTGGTGGTAGCTTTATATTTTTGCACGTATTTATTTTTATTTGCGTTTCAATTTCAGTTGCACAGTTGTACACGCCTTATTTATTGGGTTATGGTACTCCCGGTTTGAGCAGCGGTAAGACCAGGTGGACACTACACGAGTGCGGTGACTGCGGAAACAAATACAAGCACAAAGGTTCCCTACAACGGCATATGAAGTATGAGTGTAGAAAACAACCGAGTTTCAAGTGTCCTTACTGCGTATACCGGGCTTACCAGAAGCACAATCTCCTGCTTCATGAGCGCCATCTACATAAAGATTTGCCAGAGAAGGTGGATTTCGTGTCGGAATGACCAGCCGCCAATAGAGGTGTCTAATGTCAGTACATTTGAGTTTACTAACAAACTTTAAACTAATACTGTGATAAACCAATTATTAAACGAAAGATTCAGAAAAAGTTTACTAGTTTAGTTTACTTAAAGAATTTTGTTACGCAGTTTGCTGTGAAAAATTAAACTCGGTCTCACGAGTACATTAACTCTGTCGTTATGTACTTTGGCGCTAATTTCTTTGACTGATTGAAAGCATGTTAAATGGTATCTTAAAAAGGTTATTGTTACGTCTATAGTTATATATTAATTTGCGATAAATATTTTCAGTTAACATGTAACAATAAACATTTTAAGAGGGAATTAATACTTTTATAATAAGAAATATATTTATTTACATCTCTGTTACAGCCCTTTGGCAGAACAACAAAGAAAATGGAGGTTCTTCTAATTAACTCAAGATTTATAAAAAAGAAATGAAGATATCGGTCAGAGGTGGGAAAGAGGATAGTACTTGGCTATAAAAATTAGACACACTGTTTTAGAAAAAGATAAACAGCTATCTTCAGGTTTGTATCTTATAAACTATACAACAATCATGTGTTGTAACAACAGAAAAAAAAATGCAAAACGACTGTCAAAGCTGCTGCTACAACACGGCGTACGAGTACAGAAATCTGTAGATAGCTTATTGTGGTTTTCTTAAGCTCAATCAGTGAACGCAAATAAAACATTCAAATACTTCGGGGGAACTAGGCGCATCTTGACCCTAAATCACAAACAAACGCACATTAAAACTTTGTTTATTATTACTTATTTACGCACAGTTAAAGTCCACCATATTTCTTACGTTTTTCGGATTAAGCTGCCATACAACATAGGTCGCGTAGAACATTTTAACGAAGCAAATCAGTAGCTATTATGTAAGTGACGGTATTCATTATTTTATTTGTTTTAAACTAGCTGTATCTTTTTTTGGACATATAGAAATCGTTATTTCTGAAATGAGCTTTCGTCTAGTTTTCTTCGACTTGGATCTTGTGGCTTGTAATAAATTTAAAAGAAGACAGCATGGAAGCGATTATTAATATAGAAAAAATATCTCTTCTCCATTATAATAAGGTAATCATTATTATTAGGTAAAAAAGTAATTTGCCTGGCATACCGCTATCTGCATAGATACCCTGAAATTATTTATTTTATGTAGTGTGTAAGTGTAGTAATACCGATTTATTTACACGTAAACAATAATTTCAAAATTGTTTTAATATAATTGCGGTTGCTTCATACACCATTCCACTATACAAGAAGGCATTTAATATCTAATACACGAAAACCGCTTAACAATTGTTGATATTTGCGTTGGGTCATTTTCTGGCGCTAGGAATGTTTTCATTTGCGTTCGCTCAGTGCAGTAATTTTTACGGCCTCGTACGATAATAGTAATAAAATAAACATTTTATCCAGTAATAAGTTAATTCTGTCTTCCAAGTAACAATAACTCATAAAATTATCTTTATACGATCAAAAGTTATCTTTGGAAATACGATTCTTGCCAAATATAATTATTATTTTAACAGAAAGACATTTTTGAGGTATACTAATTGATTTGAGTTTTTTTAGTTTCTCAATTGTATCTTAAGTTTCAAGAAAACAGTATCTATAAAGGTTGATAGTCAAAATACCAAAAAACAAAATCTTGATTAAGTCAAGAGACAAAAATGGCAGCTATATTAAAGTTAGTTTATGATTTTAAATATTCTGCGGGTATAAAATACGTAAGAGGTCGACAAAACGTATTATCAATCTTATGAAACTAATAATGCTAAGTTTGTGAGTCTTAGAACTGTTAACTTATATATAAGGCGATTTTGTTTTGCAATTTTTATACATATAAATATATTGTTAAATTTTCTTGTTTTCGTTATTGACTATTATTAAGTGTGTGTTGGTTGTTACCAAAGAAATTTATCAATTATTGTATAGAACTACAACTTTATTACTTGAGATTTGTATTATAGCGTTCAGTATTTCTGTTGAACTATATTTTTTTGCATTTGTTACTGTTATTTAAGTTACCTATAAAGTTCAAATGAATAACAAGCAATATATAAAACCAAAGAATCTTCCAGTCGATTCTAGCCGTTTAAGAAATAAGTGCCTTAAAAACTAAATAATATTTAGTATCTAAATTATAATTTATGTAAAAATATTTGCTGTAGATTTAAGCTCGGGTTACCATTTTGAAATTGTGTTATTTCATGTGTCTATTGTAAAAGTGTTTCCGTCATCCATCCATCCAATGAAAAATATGCCTTTTATTTAAACAAAAGAATTGTAAAAAAAACAAATGATTGAAAGTAAAACTTATTTTCTATAAAAGATTTAAAAAACTTAAAAATTCAATTCGGCCTTAATATAAAACGTGGTTTACTGATAGACTTACAAAAGAAGAGTCTGCCACGAAAGAATTCCCTTAGCTGCAGCGCTAGTTTTCGCGAAATTGACATTTGCTGTCTAATTCCATGCTTTACATTTTAGTGAGCATATTTTCGATGGGACTTATATACAACACTCTCACAGAATACCAGCGTGAAATAGTAGCTTAATGCTGCTGTGTTTCGTATGGTGAGTGTAGAGAACCGGAGATCCTTTTTACTGGAAAAGAGGCATTCCATCTTAGTCCTCACGGGTGACAACGCATCTGCATTTTGATTCATAATCGAGAATAGATGTCTATGGGCCACAGCAACCACTTACCATTAGGTGCAGTGAGTGCTCGTTTGTCACCCTATCCTTTAAAAAAATACAAAATATATAATTATTCTCAGTATTTAACAAGTCTGATTCAATTAGGAAGTCTCGTGTAAAATATCCAAACTAAAAAGTAAAGTATAGAAATAAACGAAGAATATCAAACTGCGAAGACAGTGGCGCCGCGGTTTAGGGACCTTTGTGACAAAGACTCTTTTAAACCATAGTTTAAACCCGAGGCTATCAATTAACTATATTTTGTATTAAGACAGAATGAGTTCGCAGGTGGACAGATATACCCAACCATGAAAAAATATAATTCTTTATAAACGTAAGTTAATTTAAGTTTTTTAGACCCACCAAAAACTAACAGAGATAGCCGTTTTTAAATTTTATAAGCTCATGCTACTTCTTATTGTAGCATCTATTAAATTATTATTTGCTTTTAGTAAGAACATGGTATTTAAACCAAAGAAATTTGCCAATTATAAAATGATACTTCAAAAAAATTGTGTATCCAACATGTCATACATAAATTTTAGATAAAATGTATTAAAGTTTTATAGTCTTGGAGATTCAATGTCTCTTTGTGCCTTAATAATATTGTAACAAAATTTTAAGAAATATTTTTTACAAATTGTTCTAAGTAAATATTACGATACGATGTAAGTAGAAATTTCAAACTTAAAATTAATGTGCTAAAAACTGCGTCTAAGAGTTAATGCCATTTGAATGGAGATTTGTTACAATTTTAAAGTGTACCAAGAAAAAAAAACGCCACATTTTAATAACACTATACATAAAAATAAAATTGAGGTGTCTATCTTTTATATCTAAGTAACTGCCTTTTAACAAGTTTAGGAGTTATAAGCATTCTATCGAGACTTGAATAACTATTTATAAAATTACTGTCTGTCCGGGCTAGTCGTCGAAATGACTGAATCAATTGTGGTGAAAGTTTATGAACAAAGTACCGAGAGTTATCTGTACTTTATTTTATCCAAAAAACTTGAAGAATATTATTTTTATTGGATGGAAAAATTGATAAAATTAATGATCATTGACTACTTTTTTAGAAAAGCTAAATGATGCCAAATTAATAGATAATAAATAAAATCGAGAATTGTATATTGAAAAATGTATTTAGAAATGTACATGAAAATATTGCTATTACACATTCTGTCGAGTCTTTTTAACGCGCTTTCATTAGCTTCGCGAATATCCATCTATTTATGTAACGTAATCTCTTAATGTAATTTTCACCAACTCGTAGACGGCAGATTATACCTATATATAAATAACTTTATCCTAGTAACCTGATCACTAGGACAATTCTCTAAAATTATCACAGCTTATGATTAATGCGTCTTTTTTTTTAAGTTTTTCTAAATTTTAATATTAATGTTGCGCGCCAAAATTTGTTTTATTGTTCGGACGTTTTCCGGACAATATTTGCGATTAAAAATGATTAGCACGATTTTATTACAGTTAAATAAGTACCGACGTAAAGTTGGAAATTCCAATGTTCGTCCTCAGGGGTTATATTCAGAAGGTAAAATTGGGAATAAATAGAAATTAATGAGAACATCATGTGGTGTCAATTAATTTTGTGTGTAATTTTACTTTTTTTTTTCAAATACATATATAATAAAACACGATTTTTTTTTTATAATCGTATTATACATGAGAAAGTCGCGCTGCAGCTGCATTATGGCCGAAACAGCAGTATGATGCTGCTGTGTTTCGTTCAGTGAGTGCAGGGAATCGGATTTACGAGTCATTCATCTCAGGGGTGCCAATTCTGTTTTGTGATTCTTATTAGATAACAGATGTGACATCACAAATACGTGAAAATGTTATTGTAATAATTTGGCTTGGCTATTGCTTGGGCTTTTGACATGGGACACAAATTTTTGTAAGTACACTTTGCAGTGCAAGACTTGCACACTTGTAGGTTGTCGATGGATGCAGATGACTCATTGCGTTACTTGAAGCGGCCAATTCAATAGAGGATTTGTGGAGGGGCTGTGATGATAATAACGATGACGTCCATTAGTCGTTGGTCATGGAAAATTTACAAGAAATGTACACACAATGAGGCTTGTCAAGCTTTTTGTGTTTAATTTATTTAATACATCTCTAATTAGCTCTGACAATTTTAAATAGTGCAATAAAAAGATTAAGTAAATAGGTAAGTAAAATAGGAAGAAATTGAAAACTTTTCCTCAACTTTGATTCTGGTTTACTCATTGTCTAATTTTGAGATTGCTATTATCAACATTTATTTCTAGTTTGTATTTTTTCTTAGACATGCAGTTCTTAGCAAATTAATAAAGCAAGAAATCTATTTTTATGACATATAATGTTAATGAACCAATATAATCTGATTTTTCCCTATCATATAAAGTGAAATAATTCAAGTAATTTTTCGAATTAAATGATTGAAGTTTTTTTTTTTTTTAAATATTAAAATGGGGTAAATTTATGTTTTATAATTTTAAAAGTTAATGCCAACTTTGTTGTGAAAATGGCACAAATGTTAACGTACTGTGTGATGTACCTTTTATTTCAACAAAATGACGTGTGTTTGATTTGATTTTTTTTAATTATTGGTTTAAGCATGTGAATAAATGTTCTTGGATTAATAATGACCTAGTTTTTCTATTATATGTTAATACCTTTAAGCCTTTAATCTTCACAATCGTTGTATACGTAGGTGGGTAGTTGAACTGATTTCAGCAGTCTTATTCTGCAACGACTATTTTGAGAATTTGATTCTATTGTTGCAGGTGAAGTGGATTTCTTTAAGACGATGATGCAAAACATGTTGCCCGTCATGCCAATGAAGACTAAAAACTACTGGTCGCAGTACGACACGAGTTTCGAGTGCGAAAAATGCAAGAGGAAATATAGGCACAAGAGTACTTATAAGCGGCACGTTACATATGAATGCGGCAAAGAACCTATGTTTAGATGTCCATTCTTGGAATGTAATTACAAGGCCTACCAAAAAACTCACACAGATGCTCACATCAAAACGAAACATAAATTAACAGCTTTAGAGTATACATGTTGATGTATGATTGAGTTGAAATTTAGATTGTGATATTAATTAATTAAATTTTAAGTAACGGCACCTTTTGTTGTACAATCTGAAAAATATATCGAACACACCATATAAATGAAGTATAAACTGCTCTATTGCGCCTACTGTGTTATATAGATTTTGTTTTGAACAAGATCTCAAATTTAAAAACTGCAATTTTCTTTATCATCGTTTCCATCAATAGGAGCTCAGATAATTCATGTAATCGCATCAAAATCCACTTCAATCAATCCGCTGGCGGTCAAGTTCCCGCCAAATCTCTAAAAATGGTTGTTACGATTCGCCAGCTGAAGCAGGCAAAGTTAAAAAAATTACAGCAGATGCGCCTTATGGTAATGAGCGGACTACTGATGACATTATATCAAGGCATCTGTGCGAATATAAAACTTGATTTATAACACCATCGAAGCACTTGTTACATCATTTTCACCCTAGAGCAACGCAAAATAGACAGGAATCGTCAAACAGACACCTCTCAAATTACAGTTACATATGGTCAGGACGCTAAACTAGTTGCGGCCGGACAACTAGTCTAGATTAGTCTAGGAGCCTTTCTTGTTTTTGAATTGTTGGGGTATTTTCTTTATTTAAACGTGTACGTTTACAGCGATAGAATAGAACAATGTTTTTATCGTGGGGAAATCCTAATGGATAACTTCTGTAGTGAGGTCAACGGAAAAATTTTGCCTGACTCCAATTGGCTAAAACGCTCCTCTGGAGAGCGCCTGCAACCCCCAAGCCACTGTTTCTGGTAATGGAACACCATTTATTTATTAGCTGAGAGGATTCCTTTTTTGCCTAAGTTCGTCTGAGTAAATATCACCGTGTTATCCATTTCTATTGCGATATAGAATTACTGTGTACCGGTCTGAAGGGTATAAAGAGCCAGTATAATTATAGGCTGTGAGGCATGACAAGTTATTCCTCAGGGGTGACAATGCGTCTGTAGCATATTTTGTTTGAAATCGGCTGCAAGGGTCCATAAATTCCCTCCGAACGGGTTCCAGCCTTGTCTTGGTGGGGGGGGGGCTTAGTGGAGCTGTGACTTGGTCACCTGTGGTGATCAAAGAGAAATCGAGTGGGCTTGCCCCCTCCGGATGTGCGTTGGTGGACCATTCATGGTGGTTCCATCGCAGCAGGTGGAATCGCGGGAATGGAAGAGTGTTAGTATGGCGGAGCCAGAGACCAGATCCGCCGCTGGGGTCGAGAAGATCGAGCCGGTGAATTTAGGCTAGAGGCTCGTGTTTTAGTGCATCTTACCTAAGAAGGGGCAGGAGTTGTCTTCTCCGAGGAGGGGCTGCTATGGGGTGGCCGGCGTCAGTGGGGTCGCGGATATGTGTAAAAGCGTTCCCGTGACCCTGCCACTACGCGGCGAAGGTGAAACTTATTAGTCGGTGCAAGTCCGACATACCATCCTCGTGCGAAGTGGGTAGCGTAAGCATTTCCCCATGAATAAAAGTGTACATAGACTGTAGTAACCACTACCCATCAGGTGGACTAAGTTTGTTTGTCATTTCAGTTTCATAAAAAAATCATAATCAAGGGGAGCACCGTAATGAAAACCTTGGCGACGTCGTCTTCTAGTAAGGTCTTTTCTCTCCGGATCCCGCCTAATAGCCTTCGGGAATTCCCACTTAGCATCGCTGATACGACTACTGACGGGAGTTTCAACCGATCTGACCCACCCGCAGTTGACACATTTACAGTCTTGGTCGCCTTAGGCAATGTAGTATAAGCCGCCCCTATTTCATAAGTGCTTGCCGTGAATAAACAAGATATTATACAATTATGTACCGTCCCCGTAAATATGTAAATAGGTTTCAAAAAACCATGTTTTAATTAAGTTGAGATTTATTGCTGATAAATTTTTAAATAATAATATGAAGAAAAATTTTTACACGAGCGGGGTTCAAACTCGCGACCTGCGACGTACCGTATCGCTGCTCTTTACCAAGTGAGCTATCGCGGATTGATCCCAAATAAATAGAATCTAAGGACAAATTCATGAGCTCAGTTGGTAAAGAAAAGCGACACGCTACAACGCAGGTCGCGAGTTCGAATCCCGTTCACGGGTAAATTTTTCTTCTCATTATTTATTTAAAAATTTATCAGCAACAATCTAACATGTGATTCATATTAAAATAAAAATCTTTATAGCTCCAGATTTATTCTCAAACAAATAATATAAGTATATAACGTGTTACAAAACGCGTCTTTTTTATAGAAGAGGGGGTAAACGAGCATGCGGCTCACCTGATGTTAAGTGACTACCGCCGCCCATGACCAACTGCAACACCAGGGGAATTGCAGGTGCGTTGCCGGCCCTTTTGAAAGGAGTAAGCTCTTTTCTTGAAGGTCCCCAGGTCGTATCGGTCCGGAAAAATCACCGGTGGTAAACTATTCCACAGAGAGGTACGCGGAAGAAAACTTGTGAAACGTACTGTGGTGGACCGCCAAGCATCCAAATGGTGTGAATGGTATCGGGACGTTTGCCGCGTAGTGCGTTCACGAAATTTGGCGGCTGGGATTAATGCGAACAATTCCTCAGAGCACTCCCCATGGTATATGCGAAAGAAAATGCAAAGAGATGCAACATCTCTTCGCAGCGCCAGTGAATCGAGCCGATCGGAAAGCACTCGGTCGTCGACGATTCGAGCCGCTCTGCGCTGGATGCGGTCAAGTGGAAGGAGCTGGTACTGGGGAGCTCCAGCTCAGAGATGGGAACAGTATTCCATGTGCGGCCAAACCTGCGCCTTGTAAAGTTGCAGGCGGTGTGCCAGCATGAAATACTGTCCCGCTCTGCTGAGCACGCCTAGCTTTTTAGAGGCCAATTTGGCCTTCCCTTCCAAGTGACCACGAAACTGCACGTCACTCGATATGTCGACGCCTAAGAGTCCGATACTGGCTGAGGCAACAAGAGGAGTGCCTTGAAACAGAGAATATACGACAAAGGGGTTCTTTCTAGCGGTTAACGCGCAAACTTGTGTGTTCTGAGGGTTAAACAGGACTAGATTTAGTCGCCCCCAATCCGAGACTGTGTTCAGCAAAGACTCAACTTCAGACACAAGTTTGTCCCAGTACTCTGAGACGTTTTCCCGAGAAATATTGGCACGGCCGGTATACAGAGCATCACCAGTCATCTGGATAGCAATTAATGTTGCCGGTTTGCAACATATCATTGATATGCAGAAGAAACAGCGTTGGCGATAGCACGCAGCCCTGTGGAACACCAGCATTAATAAGCTTGTAGTCGGAGCTTGCACCGTCTACAACGACCTTGATGCTCCGATCTGCAAGAAAGCTGGTGATCCAGTTGCACAATTTCTCGGGAAGTCCATAGGAAGGGCGCTTCGAAAGAAGCGCTCTGTGCCAAACCCGATCGAAGGCCTTCGCAATGTCCAAACTCAACTGCCTCCGACCATCTATGAGTTAGGTGGACCACAAGACCACCAGCTGATCGATCATGACGAAAACTGTATTGGCGATCACTAATCAGCTGGTGAACCTCAAGGTACCTCATGAGCTGGCAGTTTACAATGGACTCCATTGTTTTGGAGAACAAGGAGGTGATGGCGATAGGCCTGTAGTTGGACGGGTCTGAGCGGTCGCCTTTTTTTGGGATCGGGTGGAGGCAAGCCGTCTTCCATGATTTCGGAACTACGCCTAAGGAGTAGGAGTACCGGAAAAGACGCGTTAAAACCGGTGCCAACTCTGGAGCACACTTGGGGGGGATTCCGTCAGGCCCACTCGACTTGTTGATGTTCATGGAGAGGAGTGCTTTGCGAACCGAGCGCTGTGTGAACCGCACTTTCAGCATGGAGCACTCACACCGCGCGATGGTTGGCGGCGTACTCCCCCCGTCATCGAGAGTTGAGTTGAACGCAAAGAGCCTAGCAGATCGGCTTTCTTCTTTGCGGTGTGAGCCAGTGAGTCGTCCTCCGTGTGCATAGATGGAAGAGATGGCTGACAGAAATTCTCCTGGACAGCCTTGGCGAGAGACCAGAATGCACGGTTCCAGAAGGAAAGCGAAATAGTTTCTCGCCAATTCTGCCTATGTGTTCTGACTTTGCCTTGGCAATGACTCTTGAAGGACCAGGAGGCGGAATTATACTTCCTTTTTAGAGCGCTGGTCGTTTATCCCGGGACGTTGATGCGTCAGCCCAAGCTTGGTAGCACTCCTGCTTATAGCATGATGCTATTTTACAGGAGCGACCAAACCATGGCTGAGATTTGCCTCCGATGGGCACCACAGAGGAAGGAATAAAAAGTCCCTTACCCTGAAGTACCACATCAGCGACAGAATCCGCAACACAACGTTGGGATCGTCCGGCAAGAAGCAAACCTGCCCCCAAGGGTGGGATGCAAAGAAAGACCGCATCCTATCCCAATCGGCTGACCTTTAGTGCCAAACACGGCGGCAGCCTGCAGAATGCAACTGCAATTTCAGCGTGAGTGGCACCACCTCCGGACAAGACAATGGTCCGAGGAGCCTAAAGAGGCATCGACGAAATTCTGATATCCGTCCGGATGAGAGGTCAGCAGAAGGTAGAACAGGGAAGGTGCATGATTCTCCACATCTGGAATCCGCGTAGGCGAAGTAACCAGTTGTGTCAGACCATATGCCAAGGCAAAATCATGAACAGATCTCCCCGCATGATCAGTTAAACGTGAACCAAGCCATTCGGCGTGATGGGCGTTAAATCACTGAGGATCACGGTCTCTGTGGAGAGGATTTACTGTAGCAACGAACCTGTAGCCATTTGGACGTGGTCGAAGAGTCGGTCTGTTTCGGCACTACCGCTATGGGACCTATAGAGGCACCCGTAGACGCGCGGATGGTCGTCGCTATATCTCGCGTAGCCAAAGGATAGACAGGTACCTTCAAGACTGCCCAGGCGTCGAGAACAGATGTCCTCTCTGACGTAAACGCAAACTCCAGACCGAGGCACAAAAGAGTGTTCCAGTTTATA